ATATTGTCCCAAAAAGGGGCAGAGCAATGTATTGCCCCCCAAAAGGGTGGGTCAATGTATTGTCCCAAAAACAGGGTGGAGCTTTGCACAGAGGTCAAGTACAAAGATGTGTTGCACTAGTCTGTTTAACAAATAGATCTTTTTGCAGTGGGTCTAAAGAAACTTATTGTTTACAAGCTACAAGGCTAATGGGTTTAATGACAAGAAATCAAACATTTGCCTAAACCTAAAGCATTTGTAACTTAACTGCATTTATCTAACGTGTTGTAGTATCCTACATCGCCTTACAACCTAGCTGTTTTTAGTTTCATTTTTTAAAATACCATTTTCTTTCACATGTTCTTCTCAATTTGTATTAATCCTTTTATGATTGTCCACTGTTGTCATGAATCTTTGTTAAATCAGGTCTCTGGTAAATGAGTCCCTGAGGCTCAATGAGACTAACCTGTAGAAATAAAAGTTAAATGTGTCTAAGTTTTTTTTTTTCTCTTTTGCATATAGTGAAAATGTAGAAAAACAAAAAACGGGAGACCTTATTCTGATGGCATGTGTTCCTCAGGGCTCTGTAAGGAAAAGTATTTTGGCCTTTTTTCAGTGTGGACGTAAAAATCTGCAGTTTGTGTGTGAGAGTGTGATCTTTAATAATTTCACTGAGTATTAAAAATGCATAAATCAATTAGAGACAGAAACAAGTCTGTGTCGTCCGGTCCCTCCACAGAGGTTGGACAGCTGTTTTACACCGGATGTTCTTCATGAAACAACCTGGACTTGAAGCTGCAGCGTCAGGATACAAGACCTCGGAGCAACCGCAGCCTTTCACACTAAAACTGAAATATTTTGAAATATTGACAAATAAAAACAACAGACAACTGACTACGACGATCACAGATGTGTTTTAGGCACGCGTCGAAACAAATTAGAGGAAGATTTGTGAAAGAGTTGATACTAATATGGAAATACACACACTCTACACATAGTGTGGGCTGTTTCAATGCTGTTGAGTGTGTGTGTGTGTGTGTGTGTGTGTGTGGGGGGGGGGGGGTACTTGTGTGTGAATAATTACGCAGTGTGATTTCTTGGCCATTCTTTGACTGTGTGTGTGTGGTCATTACAGCTCGTTAGTGAGCGCTAACGAAGCATCCCGAGTCTGCACCCTGACACGGATTATAAAGAAGAGGCGCTCCGAGTGTGTGTGTGTGTGTGTGTGTGTGTGGGGTTCATGTCGGTGTAATTAAGCTAATTAAATTAGCACGCTGATGGACGAGAGAGCGCATTGCTGTCACCCCCCTGAATCCCCCACACAGAGGTCGCTCCCCCCCCCCCCC